CCAAGAAAATGCAATCTACTCACCCCTCTCTCTCTCTCTCTCTTATCTTACTCCAGTAGACTTGTGACATAGGATTTCCCGTCCCCGAAAATGTGTTGGCTGTCGTTTATTAGTTATTTTTTTCTAGGTGTTCCACCACTCTTCTCCTGATAATCTTCTCCATGACTTTGCATACTTACCATGTCAGTGACACTGGTCTGTAGTTTAGTGCTTCGTGTCTGTCTCCTTTTTCAAAAACTGGGACTACATTTGCTGTCTTTCATGCATCAGGTAGTCACCCTGTTTCGGTAGATGCCTTGAATATTGTTGTCAGGAGTACACATAGCACCTCTGCTCCCTCTCTCAGGACACATGGAGAGATGTTATCCGGCCCCATAGCCTTTGAGGTGTCTGGCTTACTTAGTAGCTTCCCCCTCGGTTGTATCTATTGTGTCCAACACTTGATGGTGTACCCCACCTCTCCATCTTTCTAGAGCGCCATCTGTTTCCTCTGTTAACACTTCTTTGAATCACATGTTGAGTTACTCACATACTTCGTGGTCGTTTCTTGTGATCTCTCCTCCTTCCTTCCTTAGCCTGATTATCTGATCTTTTACTGTTGTTTTCCTCCTGATGTGGCTGTATAACAGCTTTGGGTCAGATTTAGCTTTCACTGCTATGTCATTTTCATATTGTCGTTGGGCCTCCCTTCTTACCTGTGCATATTCATTTCTGGCTCTATGACTGCTCTCCTTATTCTCCTGGGTCCTTTGCCTTCTATATTTCTTCCATTCCCTAGCACACTTGGTTTATGCCTCCCTGCATCTTCGGGTGAACCATGGGCCCATCCTGGTCTTCTTGTTATTTCTGTTACTCTTGGGTACAAACTTCTCTTCAGCTTCCTTGCATATTGTTGTGTGTTTTATGTGTGTGTGTGTGTGTGTGTGTGTGTGTGTGTGTGTGTGTGTGTGTGTGTGTGTGTGTGTTGTCTGTGTCGTGTGCATGAGTGGGAGTTATATACGCTATGATATACACGCCTCTCAGTGTATGTACTCTGAGATATTCACTCCTTCCAGTGTATATATAGTGAGATGTAAAACTCTCACTGTATATACACTGAGATATACAGACCTCTGAGTATATATACACTGAGATATACACGCCTCACAGTGTATGTATCCTGAGATATTCTCACCTCTCAGTGTATATACATGGACATATACACACCTCTCAATGTATATACCCTGAGATATATTCACACCTCTCAGTGCGTACCCACTGAAAAATAAACCAAATACTGTATATACACATCTCTCAGTGTATATTCACTGACATATACACACACCACTGAGTGGTATATATATGCTGCTTTGGCCTGCCTCATGGTGGGCGATAAAGCATGACGCCCTAATCCACTGGACCAAACGATCCTTACAAGTAGGGCATCCAGCAGAGCTGGATGTTGTACTCGCTACCCAAGGACACAGGATGGTGTGGATGAATCTAGGCTAATTTCATTATAGTCCCTGTTTGGTGTACTAGTTCAACGAGCAGTATTTTATATTGTTGTGACCACGAACGAGTGGTATTGATCACGAACGAGCAAGTACCACCCGTCCGTTGTCACAATAATATATATATATACAGATATATATATATATATATATATATATATATATATATATATAATATATATATTATAAATATATATATATAATATATATATATATATATGTCGTGCCGAATATGTAAAACTGGTCAATTAGCAAGAACTCATTTAAAATTAAGTCCTTTCTGAAATTTTACCTAACCTTATTATAACAAGAGCAATTCATTTTAACCTAACCCAACTAAATATATTTTAAATACGTTTACAGTAATTTAATACTAAATAAACACAATCAAATATATTTTTTTCGTTAGGTTCAGAATGATTTTGGCGAAATTATTGCATACACAAATTTTCACTTGTCCTATATGGCAAGGTGAGCGTTGCTATTTAAGCCAAGATCGCAAGTTCTGCCTATTCGGCACGACACACACACACATATATATATATATATATATAATATATATATATATATAATTATATATATATATATATATATATATATATATATATATATAGTGTATATCTCAGTGGGTATACGCTTATAGGTGTGTAGTCTCACTGTATATACACTAAGAGATTAACCAATAGATAGGTTTTAAACCCTTCACGGTAACCAATATATAAACTTTACAGTTAACAAACTAATTCTCAGAGAGAGTAGAAACCTAACAAATAGGTGACAGCATTGTGATAAATACTTACCAAGAGAGGAATTAACACTGCTGGCAGTGTGTGTAAGACGCTAATGACGCCATTAACTCCATTATCTCCATTATCTCTCCTCCGTCTTCTTTCCTTCTTCTCTGACTGCTTAATGACTCTATCTATAACGTCCTGTAGGGAGGGAGAGGTTGCTTAAATGGGATTCAATTCTATCTACTACAGGAGAGACATAGGGACTGGCTGCTTCGCTAATGGGGTTTAAGTCTATCTAATACACGAGGGTCATTAAGACTGGTTGGTTGGTTAATGGGGTTTAAAATCTATCTGTTACATGCTGGTCATTAAGACTGGTTGATTGGTAGGCAGAGTTCTCTCTTCACACGGTGAGTGTCCGGGTTCGATTCCCGGAAGGGTTAAAACATCGGACGTGTTTACTTACACCAGTTGTCTATGTTCACCCATCAGTAAAATGGGTGCCTGGGAGTTAGTGGATTGGTGTGGGTCGCATCCTGGGTGTTAGTGGACTGGTGTTCGTCGTATCCTGGGTGTTAGTGGACTGGTGTGGGTCACATCCTGGGTGTTAGTGGACTCGTGTGGGTCACATCCTGGGTGTTAGTGGACTGGTGTGGGTCACATCCTGGGTGTTAGTGGACTGGTGTGGGTCACATCCTGGGTGTTAGTGGACTGGTGTGGGTCACATCCTGGGAGTTATTGGACTGGTGTTCGTCGCATCCTGGGTGTTAGTGGACTGGTGTTCGTCGCATCCTGGAAGTTAGTGGACTGGTGAGGGTCACATCCTGGGTGTTAGTGGACTGGTGTGGGTCACATCCTGGGTGTTAGTGGACTGGTGTGGGTCACATCCTGGGAGTTAGTGGACTGGTGTTCGTCGCATCCTGGGTGTTAGTGGACTGGTGTTCGTCGCATCCTGGGAGTTAGTGGACTGGTGTGGGTCACATCCTGGGTGTTAGTGGACTGGTGTGGGTCACATCCTGGGTGTTAGTGGACTGGTGTGGGTCACATTCTGGGTGTTAGTGGACTGGTGTTCGTGGCATCCTGGGTGTTAGTGGACTGGTGTGGGTCGCATCCTTGGTGTTAGTGAACTGGTGTGGGTTACATTCTTGGTGGTAGTGGACTGGTGTGGATGGCATCCTGGGTGTTAGTGAACTGGTGTGGGTCACATCCTGGGTTTTAGTGGACTGGTGTGGGTCGCATCCTGGGTGTTAGTGAACTGGTGTGGGTCACATCCTGGGTGTTAGTGGACTGGTGTGGGTCACATCCTGTGTGTTAGTGGACTGGTGTGGGTCGCATCCTGGGTGTTAGTGAACTGGTGTGGGTCAGATCGTGGGTGTTAGTGGACTGGTGTGGGTCAGATCCTGGGTGTTAGTGGCCTGGGGAGGGTGGCATCCGGGTTTGTTATAAACGGGTTTTGGGGTGGTTCCTGGTGTTAGTGGACTTGTTGGTCACATCCGGTGTTAGGGGAATGGTGGGGGTCACACCCCTGGGTGTTAGTGGACTGGTTGGGTGGCCCCCTGGTGCTAGGGGACTGGTGTGGGTGGAAATCCTTGGTGCTAGTGGATGGTGTGGGTGGTATCCTTTCTAGTGGACTGGTGTGGGGGGCATCCTTGGTGCTATGGCGGGGGTGGGGGCATCCTTGGTGCAGTGACTGGTGTGGGGGGTATCCTTGGTGCATGGACTGGTGTGGGGGGGCACCCCTTGGGGTGCTATGGACGGGGTGTGGGGGGCACCTTGGTGCAGGGAACTGGGGGTGGGGGTATCCGGGTGCTATGATGTGGGGGTGGCATCCTGGGTGCTAGTGGACTGGTGTGGGGTGTATCCTTGGTGTTAGTGGACGTGGGGGTGGCACCCTTTGGGGGTGCAGGGCGGGTTTGGGGGTGGAACCCTTTGGGGTGCTAGGGGACGGGTGGGGGGGTGGCATCCTTGGTGCTATGGACTGGTGTGGGGGCATCCTTGGTGCTAGGGGACGGGTGGGGGGGTGGCACCCTTGGTGCTAGGGGACTGTGTGGGTGCATCCTTGGTCTATGGACGGGTGGGGGTGGCACCCTTTGGGGGTGCTATGGACGGGTGTGGGTGGCATCCGGTGCTAGTGGACTGGTGGGGTGGCATCCCTTGTGCAGTGGACTGGGGGGGGGGTATCCTTGGTGCTAGTGGACTTGGTGGGGTGGCAACCGGGACAAACTGGCCTAACTTGGGGGAAATACTCATATATCAGGACATTTTTATATAGTATGTCACTATTAAAAACCCCCCTGGTGTAAAGGGGAGCAAAAAAAACACGCAAAAAACTTTTGACTTACATTACCCTTTCCCCCCCCCAAAGTAAGAACAGAAGTGGGGTCACTATATAAAAACTATGACAGGATAGGTTTTAGTGCACTCCACGGTAAAGCAAGGCAAAATAAAAGCCACTAGAGAGCAGACCGTGCTTCAACCAGCTATAGAAGGGATGCGGGGCAGCGGGTGAGTGGTCCCACAACACCTCTGCGATTCCCAAAAACCCATCTTCTCAATGGGGGAACCTGGGTACTGTTAAAACGACGGGCCCCCCATCATCAACCCTTTTACACCTGGTTCCGGTTGGGGAAGAAGCCTTTCAGTGAGGGTGTGTACTTTCGCCGAAAAAAGGGTTTACGTACCTTTGCATGCCACAAGCCCCCACTATGTCAGCATGGTCGTTTACCTGTAAATGTACTGATATACCTTGTACAGTCTTGTATACCTTGGACATTGCTTGAAACCTTGCACATGTATTTGGGATAATTTGTACAGTACTTGTATACCTTGACATGTGCTTGTATCCCTTGAACATGTACTTTTTAAACCTGTACAGTCTTGTGTACCTTGTACATGTACATGTATATTTGGGGACATGTGCTTGTATCCCTTTGACATTTTTGTATCCCTTTGGACATGTCTTTAACCCTTGACATGTACTTGTATACCTTTGGACATTGCTGTATACCTTTGTACATGTACTTGATACCTTGGACTTTGGCTTGTATACCTTGTACATGATTTTAAACCCTTTGCACATTACTTGTATCTTTCTGTGCTTGAAAACCTTTACATGTACTTGTATACCTTGTACATTATTGTAACCTTTACATGACTTGTATACCTTGTACATGTCTTGTAACTTGTACATGTACTTGTAACCTTGTCTGTACTTGTATCCCTGTACAGTACTTGAACCCTTGTACATTACTTGTAACCTTTACATGTACTTGTATACCTTGTACAGTCTTGTATTCTTGTAAAAGTCTTGTAAAACCTTGTACATGTGCTTTAAAACCTTGTACATGTCTTTTCCCTTGTACATGTATTTGTATCCCTGACATGTACTTGTATACCTTGTACAGTACTTGTATCCCTTTGTACATTACTTGTGTACCTTTAAGTGTACTTGAATCCCTTTACTGTGTTTGAAATCCTTGAAAACATTATTGTAACCTTGTCATGTACTTGTATACCTTGTACATGTCTTGTATCCCTTTGTACAGTGATTGATCCCTTTGTAATGTGTTTTGTATACCTTGACATTTTGAAACCCTTTTTGTACATGTGCTTGATACCTTGTACATGACTTGTATACCTTTGTACATGTACTTGATCCTTGTACATATACTTGTATACCTTTACATGTGCTTGTATACCTTTACATGACTTGTATCCCTTTTGTACATGTACTTGTATACCTTTACATGTGCTTTATACTTGTACATGTACTTTATCCCTTTTAAATGTACTTTAACCTTGTACAGTACTTGTATACCTTGTACATGTACTGTATCCCTTTGTACATGTACTTGTAACCTTGTACATGTGCTTGTATCCCTTGTACATGTATTTGTATCCCTTGTCATGTACTTGTATCCTTGTACACGTGCTTGTATACCTTGTACATGTACTTGAAAAACCTTTGTACATGTATTTGTATACCTTGTACAGTACTTGTATACCTTGTACATGTGCTTGTATACCTGTACATTACTTGTATCCCTTGTACAGTACTTTAACCTTGTACACGTACTTAATACCTTTACATTGCTTGTATACCTTGACATTACTTGATACCTTGTACATGTATTTGTATACCTTGTAAACGTGTTTTGTATACCTTGTACATGTACTTGCATCCCTTGTACATGTACTTGTTTTTTTTGCATGTACTTGTAACCCTTTGTAAGTACTTGAAAAACCTTGTACATGTACTTGTATCCCTTTGTACATTCTTGTATACCTTGTACATGTACTTGTATACCTTGTACATGACTTGTATACCTTTTACATGTATTTATCCCTTGTACATGTATTTGTATCCCTTGACATGTACTTGTATACCTTACTGTATTTTGTATCCCTTGCACATGTACTTGTATACCTTGTACAGTACTTTTACCTTTACTTTAACTTGTATACCTTGTACAGAATGTATACCTTGTACATTACTTGTATACCTTGTACATTATTTTGTATACCTTGCACATTACTTGTTACCTTGTACATGTACTTGTATACCTTGTACATGTATTGTATACCTTGTACATGACTTGTATCCCTTTCATGTACTTGTTCCTTTGCACATTACTTGTATACCTTGCACATGTACTTGTATACCTTGTACATGTATTGTATACCTGTACTGTATTTTATACCTTTACATGTACTTGTATACCTTGCACATGACTTGTATACCTGTACAGTACTTGTATCCCTTTGTACATGTACTTGATCCTTTGTGCATGTATTATACCTTTGTACATGTACTTGTATCCCTTGTACATGTACTTGTTACCTTTGTACATGTTTACCTAGTTTCCGGAGAGAGTTTCGGGGGTCAACGCCCCCGGGGCCCGGGTCGTGACCAGGCCCCTGGTGGATCGCGCCTGATCAACCCGGGTGTTCGCTGGCTGCACGCAAACCAAAGACACCAAAAGCCCCTGATCGGAACTGACTTTAGGGGCTTGTCCCCGTGCCAGCTTTAAGACTGCCGGGGGCTGTTGGGAATCCCCCTTATGTGCTGGGGGGCAGTTGAACAGTCCGGGGCCCCCGACACTTATTGTATGGGCCTTAACGTCTAGTACACCCCCCGCTTTTTTATTGGGGGGGTGGGCATCGTCGCCCAAATCTTTTGCTTTCGTAGTGATGATTTTCGGTGCAAGTTCGGGACTAGTCCCTCAGGGTTTTCCGGTGATTAATCATGATCTCCCCCCTCCTGCGTTCCCGGAATACAGGTTTAGAAACCTCAAGGCTCCCATAATTTAGGGGTTTTATCTCCGTTAGCGCCCGTGAAAGTTCTCTGTCTTTTTCTAGGCGGCAATTTTTTACCTGCCTTGAAAGGTGCTGTTAGAGGCAGCAAATTCCACCTAGATAAACAAGTGACCTGAAGTTCATCATGGCTTGGCCCCCCAGTTTTTTAAGGTTTTCTCATTTTTCCCTCCCGTCATTTTTTTTTTAGCAGATGCGATTGATACAAAGTTTTGGGCCTTGAAGGTGAGATCCTAACGACATAATCACTCCCAGGTCTTTGACGTTGGTGTTTCGCTCTATTTCGTGGCCAGAATTTGTTTTGTACTCTGATGAAGATTTAATTTCCTCGTGTTTACCATATCTGAGTAATTGAAATTTCTCATCGTTGAACTTCATATTGTTTTCTGCAGCCCACTGAAAGATTTGGTTGATGTCCTCCTGGAGCCTTGCAGTGTCTGCAATGGAAGACACTGTCATGCAGATTCGGGTGTCATCTGCAAAGGAAGACACGGTGCTGTGGCTGACATCCTTGTCTATGTCGGATATGAGGATGAGGAACAAGATGGGAGCTAGTACTGTGCCTTGTGGAACAGAGCTTTTCACCGTAGCTGCCTCGGACTTTACTCTGTTGACGACTACTCTCTTGTATGTACTTGTATACCTTGTACATGTACTTGTATACCTTGTACATGTACTTGTATACCTTGCACATGTACTTGTATACCTTGTACATGTACTTGTATACCTTGTACATGTACTTGTATACCTTGTACATGTACTTGTATACCTTGTACATGTACTTGTACATGTACTTTTTTTATATTTTATTTAAAACATCATAAATACAAGGCTGCTTAAAAATTAGATAGCATCACCATAATATTGTATATAGTACACCAAGATTCACACCATAAATACCAGAGGAAATCTTTGTAACTAATACGTATAGATATATACAACAAACACACCATAAAACGCATACGTATGTTTCACTAAACACTCACAATACCAAAAGATATAACTGTTTGCGCAACAAATGTAACTCTGGTGGAAACCCCACTAAACCCATTATAAGTTACATTCACATCATACAAACATGTTACATTAACGCTCGCAGTATCTGCACCCCTCTCCCCCCCTCTCCCCCCCCTCACCCTCTGTACCACCCTACCTAACCAACCTCTGACCTCTTCTAAACCTTCGCAAAAATAGACAACATGAAATGCCGTGTCTTCTCCTCCACAAAACCCACACCCGCCTCCCTCCACGACTCTTCTGGATCGTAGTATTGCCCCTGACGGCAATATACCATGTAAAAGACGGAACATGACTTCACGCACCCTAGGCCGTAATTTCAGCTTACTAAATCTGAGCCAAATATTTTCTCACGAGTACATGGGGAACAAACCTTCTACTGGAGCTGCGCACGTACCCTCCTGAACCTACTTAAAACCCTTATGCGAATGTTTTTCCGTTCCTTTACCATCAACAAAGCCCGTAGTACAATCTCACATTCCCTCAATTCCATTCCCCAATACCACTTTTTCAACCTCATATATACCTGTTCCATACTTCCCGCCATCACACCCACACGCCAAACCTCCCACTTTAGAAAAACACATTTTACCCTACGCTTTAAGTCCAACAATCCCAAACCTCCTCGACGTACAGGTAACATAACAACCTCACGTCTTAACCAATCACACCTCGATCCCCACAAAAAGGTAAATACTTGTCTCAATATTCCATTGATCGCTGTCCCTGTAATCGGGAATACAGCCGCAACGTGCCACACCTTACTATACAATAAAACGTTAACAACGATCACACGTTGGGCCAGAGTGAGATGTTGGGGCCTCAAAACACCCAGACGACCAATGACCTTTTCCAACGTCCTTACTGAATTTTCCTCCCGCGCCACATCAAAATCGTCTCTATAAATTATACCACAAATCTTTAATGACATCGCAGTTGTGTTAACCACGTTACAGCTCACCATTCCTCCCCCTTTCCAGGTACCCAACCCCATGATCATCGACTTTTCACTATTTACCTTCATACCCGTGACTCGTTCAAACACACGCACATCTTCCAACACTTTCACAGACATCCGTTCACAGACCAAAACAGTCGTATCATCCACATAACCTATTAATGCCGGCCAACATCTCCCTTCCCCTACCCCCCTTCCCCCCTCACCCCGGGAATTGACTGTGCTCTCAGCCATCCTGTAAAAGGGATCCTGAAAACACGCAAATAAGATCTGTGACATAAATATAAAAATCAATAAATATAAATCAGGATCGTACACGGTAAGCTGTCCAATATACAAGTACAGTTAGAAACAGAAATACAAATAGCTAGAGCTTCATTTAAGGAGGTTATTAATAGAGTATTCAAGAGTTTGCTAGTAGAATTACAGTAAATCAACCATTCAAATCATTATGAAGCTCTGTATAGTCTGCAGTCAATCAAACA